GTCCCGATTCCGGCAATTTTTTTTATTTTTTTTTTTTGTTTTTTTATTTAAGATAGGGTTAGTTTATTTAATAATTTATTTATTTTAAGAGGTCACGGAATAAATCAAGTCTCGAACTATTTTGTTAACCGCCTTTCAAAATAAGTTACTAAATGCACTGCAACACACAATTAGAACTTAATTGTGATCACCATGTGATTCCTGGTTAAAGTACCAACCTTTTTACTTTATTAGAGGTTGTGATCATGATTTGGGATAATATGTGCATGTGTGTGTGTGTGTGTGTGTGTGTGTGGGTCATTACATACATGTTACAAGTTGGGTGTATAGGCTTGGCACACATGCAGTGACATGTTTGAAGTCATATATGCTTGTAAAGTAGGGTTATAGACCATAAATTAATCTTAGGCCATCTCTCATTAATTTGATTTTCAAATATGAAATCATTGTAACAGATAATTGAGTCACATTGATAGCAATGTTAGGTCAATTCCTGACCTCCCATGCATGAACATTATTGATTGATTGAATCATTTATTTGGTCTATTGTATATATAAATTTTGGTAGGGTCAAATTTAAAAAGTTTAAATAAACGATACTCTAACGAAATTCGTATGCTCAATTTCAATTATATGATACCATGTCCATATTAAATTGAAAGTATTGAAAAGAAAATGAAAAAGATGAGAGAGAGAGAGAGAGAGAGAGAGAGAGTTTTCAATCTTATGTTAGTCTAAGTAGTCTAAATATTATGAGAGATTAAATATGTTAGGAGAAAAAGAGGGTTTGTCTTGTCCTAAAATAATTTGTAACAGAAAGTGAAATAACACACACATGTATATATATATAATTGCTCTTTTTCTTCTTTCTCTTTTAACCAGCTTTCAATTTCCTCATCTTCTTTTTTTTTCCTCTTACTTATCTAATTATTATTTGCATATTATAAAATAAAAAAACTTTAAGCCATTAAATATGTATAACATAAACATTTGTTCCCTTAAACATAGAAGACAATAAGTTGTAGTTAATTAAGCAAAGAATATGTAATTTATCTGATCGACCCCCCAAAAAAAAATAGTAATTATATTAACAAATGAATAAAATTAAAAAATTGTTAAACACGTAATAATCAAAGTTGGTCGGTAAAGTTAGGTTAGGGTTGCTTTCTAGGGCATCGTTTTCCACACTTTTGGAAAAAGACGAAACAGAATATTTGTTGGACTATTAAACTAAGATAACGACTTAGCAAGATTAGCTTACTACATATATTAATTATATATATTCATCAATTAAGTACTATTTTTGTCCCATATTAGATATTTATATTTAGAAATTAAAATTTTTAAAGAAAGATGTAATTAATGCATTGTCTCTTTTTAAAATTACCAACTTATCCTTTTTAATTTCATATATATAATTATCAAGTTTGAAATTTTTTTAAAATATAAAGGACAATGATAAAATCATAAAACTTATTTGATTTGACTTTTTAAAGTGGACAATTAATTTAAGACGTCTAACAATAAGATAGTATATTACTAATTCATCATCTATTCTGAACATCGCAACCGAAAAAGCTATTGACCGGTGACCTTTCGAAAAAGTTGCACACCTGTTCTTCTCTGAAATAAGGGAAAGTTGCTCACTCAGAGAGATTCGAGAATATTCGAAGTTACATAGAATGTAATTATTAAAAATTATTTTTAAAAAGTAAAATAATAAATAGACAACTTGTAAAAAATAATATTAATAATAAAAAGAGAACTAAGAAATATGTTCGATACTTGAAATGAAAAAAAAAAAAAAAAAAAAAAAAAAAAAAAAAACGTGTTCGATAGGATTAGGATGTATCTTGGTTTTTCTTTTTATAAAAAAATAAAAACGGATACGGCAAGATACTTTGGAGATGGGGCTGGGCAAAATCGTAAATATATTTATAAAAAATAAGGGTCTTATTGTAATAATAAAAAAAGCTGGTCGTTTTTTTTTTAAAAATGAAACAAAAAGGACTTAAAAAAAAGCCAAATCGATACTAATTGACACTAACCAAAGCAGCAAGAAAGAATTAGAGAGAAAATGAAGGAAAAGAAGAGTAAGGGAGATTTGGTGTCAACTAAGGGATGTGTTAATTAATTTAACGGAGGTCATTCATGTTTCAGAATTAGGTTTTTTTTATTTTTTTTTTATTTTTTTTAATAGCCTATTTATTCTTGAACATATAGGTGATTCGGGACGTTATGGAAAACAAATAAAAATTATTTTTTTATATATAAATATAATACATTATTATTTTATTATTGTATCTTGTCATACTCATTATGTTTTTTAAAAGATTTGGTGTATCACTGTATTTATATCATTTCATATTTGTATTTTGTATTGGTACATAATAGTTGATAAGTTTATCAAAAAACAAATTCAATAATCTAAGGAGTTGGATTCGGAATTGAATCGAATCCGTTAATAAAAAAGTATGAAAATCAGTATGACCCTATTTTGCCGTAATTAAACACATCCAAATATATATATATATAATATAATTATAAATTAATCAGTTTACCAAGGATGTAAGTAAACATACTTTTTTTTTTTTTTGAAACACTTTTTCTTTTAACCCCAATTAGGTTGTTTTCTATTCGAGAACTCCGAAATGGCAAAGCCTAGTTGCTTTCTCTTTCCCTTGCCATAATAGAAAATTTTAAGAAGTAACTTGATAATTTGAGAGTGAAAGATTTCATCCGACCGAGTGTGTTACCGTGGAGTGCACCGGTCTTTTTCACTAGGAAGAAAGAGACACACACACAACCTCCTTATGTTTAATAACATAAATTCGTTAATACACTGAAGTATGTCGTAGCCCTTCCACTTATGGTGGGCCCATGAAAATGTTCCATTAGTGTTAGGTGTGTTCACTTATTGGATCGGTTTGGTTTGGGAGTAAAGTTCAATCCGAATCGGTCCTCACATATTAGAGAAATTTAAAACCGAATCGATCCGTGGGAACCTTCAATCTGAACGATTCATGAAATAACCAATCGAATCGGATCAATTTCCACATATTGGGCTTTTCAAACAGCCCAATATGATTACATTGGGCCTAATATTATGGCCATTAAAATCTCAAATTAGTAATTAAAAACTAGTAATTAAAAATAAAAAATAAAAAAAAAGATTTGTAAGTCATATACCAGGTAACAGGCTAATAGTAACAGCAATAAAATTTATATATCATATACCTAATAACAGCAATAGATTTATAAATCATATACCTAATAACAGCAATAGATTTATAAATCATATACCCAATGAGTAATGAATTTGGGAGCTAGAAGAATAATGTATTAAAAAAATATATAAATACAGTAAGTATATTCAATATTGTATATATATAGTTATATATATAATATATTAATATATTATTTAAGCAACGGTTCGGTTAACGATTCAGATCGATTTTTTCAAGACACAATCTGTTAACCGAACCACGAATAACGGATTGCTATTTTTCTAAACCATTACCGAATCATGAGATTTGAAAACCAAACCACACGGATCGGATTGGTTCGAACCGGATTGACGGATTATTTGCTCACCCCTAATTAGTGTGGACATGGAGAAACCAAGAAGTGAAAATAAAAATGAAATGTATATAAAATACGGAGTATATAATAATATACGTGTATATATATGTATATACACAACCAAAAGCATAGTCAAACGAGTCTTGCAAAAGATTGGGAACAGGAGGACAAGTACAAATTGCATTTGAGTAGCAGCACTAAGCAGACATGTTACATCTCCACACTAATGAATAATTTAAATATAGCAATGGGCTGTGTGTGACATTTTCGTCTTTCTACATGAAATGACTTCATTTTTTGGGCATGGTCTCACCACATAGCATTTCTAATCTATTGTTTTCCGAAATGAATAATCGTCCATGTCGTACTATAGGACTTTATATATAAATATGTTTAGTAGAACTAGTATAGTTATTATAATGATTAGAAATATATATATATATATATATATATATATATATATATATATATTTGGGGGTCAAGTTTTTTGCTCACGGTAGATTACGTTTGGGATTATTAGAACTAGAATTAATGTGGTGAAGTGCCACACACACACACTCTCTCTCTCTCATTTCGTAATGGCTAAGAAGGTTTTCGTAAAAAAGAATTAAATACTAAAAAATAATTCCTAGTAATGGCTAAGAAGTTTTCTTTTACTTTTTTTTTGTAAAGGTAAATAGCTAAGAAGTTGCTTCACGTATTTGATTTACTTTTTTAAAACATAATCTACTTTAGAATCTGTCACATATCATATCACATAAGCACGATCGTTGTAGAAGTGTTTTACCACATACCATACCAGTATCAACAATTAGTGCATGTTTTTGGAATGTGGTATGACGTTTTTTTTATATTGATTTTTAAATTTCACCCATTTAAAATAGCTCATAACATATCCAAATTAGTGATGTTATGTGTTCTGGTACTGTAAGGAAGAAACTAAAATTACGGAACATAGTTCCGATTTTTACCCAGAACACTTCTATAACAAAATTATTATTTTGATACTGACCAAAAAAGGGCATAACACCTAAAACATATAGCATGCCAAACCTTCCCTTATCTCCATTAAGAGTTGTAATTAATATGGCCTTGCATTTTGATCCTCCCTCCTGTAGAATTTTATTTCAACCCAACATTTGCATACTAGTTATTAATAAAACCCCGTCAAATGAGTCTTAAATCTCAAGATTTGACAAACAGGCTTCAGTCACACCAGCCCCTAACATCCCTTCACAAGCTCAGCTCACAAGAAAGAAACTTCCATGGCTTAAAGACCCGAGACACTTCAAAAACTGCTCCGTTTTTACGGTATTTCTCTATTCCTTTGACATCAATTTTCTACATAAATCATGTCTTCAGGGACGCAAACATACACAAGTTTTCAATCCCTACGCACCTTTATCCCTACGCAAACATACACAAGAAACTTCCATCGCATGATGCTGACCATTAAGCGAATTACCACTACAGTTTCTGTTACATATATAGGCACAAATACTACAGTTCTGCTAAATAAAAAGAGGCCACCAACGACTTGAGTATGATGAATCTGACCTTTCTCGTGTCATGAAAACAGAACAAAACATCATAAAACTTGAAATACGTTTTCTGTCACTTGCCATCCTTTAACCTGACCTTTCTCCGATATCATGAAAACAGAACACGGCGTCCTAAAACTTGAACTCCTTTTTCTTTGACTTCCCATCCTTTTCCTGCATCTTACGTTTCCTCTTCTTCTCATTCTGCACCAATTTCAACTCATTACAATATTATTCTGCCAAAAAAAAAAAAAAGGCAAAAACAAATATAATATTTGATAAAAGCGTCTGAGATGCACACCTCTGCAACCATGTCACTGAAGTCCTCCCGCTGGCTACGCTGTTTCTCCTCCTCCCTTGCTTCCTCGTACCTGAGAGATGAACAATGTTAGTGGGGAAAAAAGGGGACTGGAGGCAAGACTAGAAACTATCTACTTCAAGGCTGGCACTTACTTGGCAGGCAACACGTTATCCATAAGTTCCAATTCCTCTGGTTGCAATGTGACATCAACTCTATCTGATTTCTGACCTTTAAGCAGATCAACCTAAAAACAGAATGATACAAACTGGTAACAACAATATCTGAGACACAAAGAGTGAATGACAAAGATTAATCACAGTTTTTGGTAATTAGTCATGGACGTAGGTAACTTGCACAATGTAAGGGGGTAAAAGAGAAAATAGTTATATATATATATATATATATATATATAAGTAAATAAAAGCAACAACAACAACAAAAGAACTGATGGAATTACAAAGGTTGCATGAGATTAGTCTTCCACGTTAAAATCAGAGCAAACAATGAAGTGTTGTTCTATTTCTTTCGTTTTTTACTTTGTTTTGTGTGTGGCCGTGTGGGTGGGGGTGAATCCGAGCCAATTCAGGACAACAGCATATTTAGGTAATGCCAGGGAACTGATGGAACCACATATTTGTCTTCAGAAGCCTGTTAGCTGGAGGGAATCACACAAAAAAACAATTTATGGCAGCAATATAGACTTGTAAATAGATAAACTGTATCAGCTGTAGAAGGACCGTGCGAAATGCAATATGACCACATGGTCCAAAGGAGCAATTTATCTACAGAAATATGCTCGCTGGACATAAAGACATTTTGTATTGCATGTTGAGGTTTACGGATCTACTTCAAGCAGCTGACAGATCCAAACCAAAAAGCTGATCACTCCACAAAAAGGGAAACGCGAATGTTACTTGCATGGAGAAATTTCCGTTCTTCAGTATTATGTTTCATGACCCAAACCTGTGAGAATTTGGTCAATCAGAAGAGCAACCCTTGTGCATAGGCATTCTTGTTGTCCTTGTACAATTTCTAGTTTGAGACAAAATTCTCCAAACCACCCCCAACACCGCCGCCACCCCGCCACCCCCCCCCCCCCCCCCCCCCCCCCCCCCCCAAATCTTTTACGCCTAGTAACTTTTTTCCTTTAAAATATTTTATATATATATATATAGCAAAAGGACTGTGACTTTAGATGTAACGGAATGGCAAAACATGATTCATGTATCTGACAACAAATAGGTGAGAAAATGGCTTTGTTGGGTCAAGTCGAGTTTAAAGAGACTACAGAAAAGAAGAAAGAAAAAATTCCAATACGGCATTTCATTTAAAATAGGAGCATCCCACTACCAAATGCTTATCCCGTCCAATGCACAGTGTTGGGAGGTGTAGACAACCTAACCTCATTATTTGCACATAGTAACTATCATCAAACTCCAAACTCATATCCGTATTCTTATATTTGACCATGCCAAGCTTCTACCAATGCACAAGCAATGATCCCTCGCAAATGCAAAAACACATGCCCACACGCAATTGCATGTAAACACATAGACAAGAAAGTACTCATTCCTAGCACAATCCTTCAAAAAATTGGATAGTAATGAACCAAAGTCAAGCACATCAGTTCTCCATTCAGTCAGGCCTCCATAATAAAACCAAATGGTGTGCTAATTTTTCAAATATAAGGTTTTGCTTTCAGTAAGGGAAAATAAAAAGAAAATCATGAAATTTCCTTACCCTTTTGCCTGCAGTTTTATCCTGAGTGCCACCGCTTATCACATACCTGTAGTGAGGAAAGTGTAAATTCAATCAATTCAAAAAGCAGGGGAAGAAGTTTAGAAGTTTCAATTCAATAGAACAGGTCAGATTGCATACGTATGGGTCGTTCCAAGTAAGGTTCCTGCAGCAATCTTTTCTTCTTTTTCTTCAAGTACCTTTGTAAAACAAGGGAAAAAAAAAAATGTGAACCTCAAGAACAATATAAGCAAAACTGACATCAAGAAATCAGCCTCGCATATCATATACTAACTTGGTAAAGAGGCTTCTCAGGCTCCTTTCTCTGCTGCTTGCGAAGGTCAATAACATCTGGAGTCTCAACGCCAGTAGGTGTGCTGAATAAATAGAGAGCGGAAAGAGGAAAAATAAATAAAAAACTTGTTAATAGGAGTTACTAAGTTACATTGTTCTAAAACTAGCATCCAAAGACCAAAACGCCGTCTGTCCCTCAATTAATCTTCCCTCCGTAAGTCCCAACCTTATGTTCATTTTAGTCCCTCACAAACTCACAATGTGATACAATCCACCTGATAGCAATACTACTAGTGCATAAAAGCATAAGAATGCCTGGCTCTATGGGGTGTGTGGTAATGTTAATTCTATTTTCACTACTCCATCATATATGCCAGACACCTGATATAAATGGTAATGTAGCATATAAAAGAGGTGGGATTTCTGACCCTCTGTATGTGTTTGTGGTAGTTTCAAGACTTCAGTTAGTGCCCAGCAATGCCAACACAATCCCCAGATAAGACGGCAATGCAGACATGCTCATGAAAAACATTCGGTACTACCTAACGTAATAATAGCTGATGCCAAAAAGAATGAAGAACCTTGAAAGACAACCCACCTAGATGAGCCTACTCTGACATAAACACCAAACCATACAACAATAGCAAAAACAATACCTTGAAAGACTATCCACAGATTGAATGCCAGCATCTAATTCCTCCTCCTCAATCTGATCTTCATCTTCCTCTTCCTCTTCCTCTTCTTCTTCTTCCTCCTCCTCCAAATCACCCCAATGCTTGGTTTTATCTACTAGTTCTTCCTGAATGTTTATTAGATAAAATAAAAGAATTAAGAAGTGACAAAATATGCAATTATAAACATTTGTACAATCATATTAAAAGTAAAAACTTAAGCTTGAAGTTTCAATTTTTTAATGAAATTAAACACATTATAAGGATTATATCATCCCAACCGCATGTATAACAGTAAAGCCTTTCTGCTACCCAAGAACCATCTTTGGAAAATAAACAATGAGAACTGTTACTTTCATTTACAACCGTTGACAAGAAAGTCTTCAAAAGCAGGGAATGATGCTGATTATTTTCATTAAGACAGCAAATCCAGTTTACCAATGAGATTAGCTCACAAAAACTGAGTCAGAAGTACTACTTAAAGAATAAAACCCAGGAAACCAAAAAAATTGTCTGAGGAAAGTACCTCATAGTTGGGCTGTTCTTGTTGCTGAACACCAAAAACATCTCCATACAACGGGCGCCCAAACTAATAATAAAATAAATTAGAAATCGGAAATAATGTTATTTAACATATGTGAACAAATAAAAGAATGAATAAACAAACAAGGACAAGCAGTGAAGACTAAAATGGTATAACCTACTTCATCAACTGGTGGTTTGCCCCAGCCTCCAGCATGATAACCAAAGGAAGCTCCCGCTGGAATAGGTGCATTCAGCCCCGGAATTTTCAAATGTGGATAAGAAGGTGGAGGACCATATCTCTGGCATTATAAATTTTCAGTCGAGAAGAAAAAATCAAACTAATAAAAAATTATCTTTCTTCCAAAATATGGATGAAAAGATTGCGATGAAACTGAAAGATCAAAATCTAGCACAATATCCTAGTTTATCCAACCTGCATATTAATTAGCCATGGGGGAGGAGCTCCCTCTGGCATACCAAGAGCTTCTTTTAGTTCCTGCGATAAGATTCCTGGCTTCATCTCCCTCAGCTTAACCTGAACAACATGTAAAAGATAGAAAATTACCAGCAACATTGTGTTATCCAAAAGATGCTACTATTTGCACCCATTGGTGAAGTTAGATTACATTATTAAAAATGAAAAGGCAATGTCTATAAGCCTACATATGCATTAATAAATTCACATACAGTAAAAATGATTGCCCTTGTTACAGCCAAAAAGGCAGATAATCCTTTAAAACCCAGGCACTATTCATATTTTTCAGTAATTGAATCAGCTAGTATGAGGAGTCTCATTGCAACCACGAGGCTGGAATCCTCTTGGAAAAGTTACCCAACTTCCAGGTAGAATTGCTATTTCTAGATAATTAGGCTGAAATATGCCAGGAAGAAAAAAGAAACTAACCGCATCTAAATACATAAAACATAATAACAGAAGACTATATAATACACTAATATGTTTATACATAATACACTAATATGTTTATACATAATACACTAATATATTTATATATAATACACTAATATGTTTATATATGCAGCAAATAATTTAAAAATAAGGTTCATACCTCAAATTCTTTCCCCTCATGGTATAAATCACCATGTGCCGTCAGCTTTGGCTTAGTCTGGTACTTGAAAAATGCATCATGGAGAACCTAAGAAGAAGAAAAGAAGAAAAAACAAAAGATGGTAAAACACGTTGAGTGTCAAAACATTATGAAAACCAAGGGAAACAGAGGCAAGTACAGACTATCCCCCTCCTTTGATGACAACTGGTGAAGCAAAGAATTTCAAATCTTTATTAACTTAGAAACCAAGAGTACATACAAGTAAAATTCATTAAAAGAGCTCGAGGAGACCTGATAATCAATATCCATTTTCCCCATCCTTGGCTGCATCCTCTCACGCTGCTTCTGTTTAAGCTTCTTACTGTCCTCCTTTTCAATGTAAGCCTGCATAAGAATATCAATAGACAATGCACCAAGTTACAGCTGATGACAAGGATGTGTATATCACCAGATAAATGTAAAAATTTAATAAAGAACAGGAAGCAGAACCAAAAACACTAGAAGAAGAGCAAGTTTTAGGGAAGGGACAAATTTACCAGCACTATATCTCAAAAGTCAACAAAAAGGGACTAGGTAACTGACATTTTGACGGTGTGCCTATTTGATTATATCAGCTCATGATTCAATTTATTACTTGTTTCGTACACTCCACCATGTTCATCCATAGAAATCGGGAAATGAAATGGGAAAGCTACAAATTAAATGCCAAAATGGCTGCGGGATATGTAATTGAACCAAGCATGTAGCCATATATCAAGCAAATTTGAGTTTGCAAGAATATCAATCAAATAGATATAAAAATTAAGACCAAACGACAACAGATTAGGTCAGATATAAACCTAATCATTATTGTGTAGGGTAAAACAGCTATAGAAAGAATTGGAATCAAAACCAAGGTAATGGGCAAAGATATCTTTTTAATTTTCCACTACTAGAAAAAGCAAGAAAATAACATTCTGGGAGATCAACGGTGTCAGATGACATAAACACATAATCTGTAACTGTAATGAAGTTACCATATTAACCATACCTGTCTAATTTTCTCAATTCCTGTAGCAGCAATAAAATCAGGAAGTTGAAATGGCGGTTTTTCAATACCACGCTTGCCCTGCAAAACAAACACAAAACCCGATGATGTACAAATGACTCGGCACATAAATTGCTGGGGGGAAAAAAAAAAAAAAAAACTGTGCTGAAATTAATCGCTACATGAATGTCCTAGAATATTAGAAAACAGTAACAGCCCAGAATATTGGTAGCATAAAGCATATTATATCCAGGCCCAGCATTATGCACACTACAAAAGAATCTGAAAATTCAGAGAAGATTAATTAGCATCCTGCCATGGAAGAAAAACACCGATGTCTAGCATGCAGAGAAGGTACGTTATGCCAAGACTTGTACTTTTCCCATAAATGATGTCATAAATGTCTAGATCCCAACCCACACTAACAACATATAAAAGAGAAACCATTCAATGGTCCCCCTTGCAAAACACCTACATGTCCAGGCTCCATGATTGTCGCAGCTGCTCGCCTGCAAGAACCACATATATACATATAAGAGAAACCTCATCAACATATCTTCCTTCACCCTCTTCCCTAAATCCCTTATTTGAGTAATACCTATCAAGTTCTTTCTTATTTTTTAATAGAAAATGAGCACATTTATGAATAATGCATGTTTAGACTTTACACCACATTGATTATTTTAGCTGCAGTGTCTAACCTGCAAAAATTTCCTCTTCTGACACCAATGCCTTGGCACGGGAACAGTATTTCGATATGATTTCAAGTATACCAGCAACTTAGGGTCTGCTGATGTCGCATCCCACACCTGAAAATCAAAACAAATAAATAACTTAATAACAGTAGGAAAGAAAAACATTCACTGGTCTTTGGACAAGCTTTTGCAGCTGCTTTTGTTGCTTGGGTTGGACTTAGGTTGAAATTTTCAGCCCAACCTCAATTTGGGTTGGACTTGGGCCAAGGTGCCAAGCAATGAGCCAACCTAAACCTGTGAAATCCTAGTCCAATCAAACTCATAAAAATAAGCCCTGATTGGACTCATCGTGTTGGAGGTCAGGTTGATTGGCTTAAGGATTGTATACATCCCTAGGGCCTAGACACAGTCTCCACGTTCGATTAGGATAGATTTTCAAGCAAAAACTAAGTTAGGATAGATTCTCAAGCAAAAACTAAGTCAGGGTTGGAATGTTGAAGCAAACAAGAAGAACAAAAACTAGTCAGTCAAGTAGAATATAGGGCACCCCACATTTGATTTGTTTAGTCAACTCTGTATTATAGATTTCTTTTCTAGCTCCTTCAAGTGAAGTGTTCTCCCTCTAACTATATACAAAATGAGCAGAAGACCAGTAAACAACTACAAAATTAAGTCATTCTCTATCTATCCTTACCTCAACTACGTCAGGCTTCGAGGAGATTTGTTTCAGTTCAGCAATTTTCATCCGACGTTGGAGCTGAAAGATATGTGATTCTATTAGAATTATAACACCAAAGTAAAGATTATGAAATAATTCAATGACGATAAGAATAATGATGATTTATGAGATGCTGAAACCAAAACCTTTTTCTTTTTATTAGAAATGCCTCTCTCTTTCAGTTGAACATCCTGTTCTTCCTCTTCTGAATCTGAGTTTGCCTTCTTATTCAAGGCTTCATTGAGGGCAGTCTCATCTTTGTTATCTTTCTCCTGAATGAAATCAAATGGAAAACCATAAGTGCCATGTGAAGCCAAAGTCAAAAACTTAGTTAAAACTGTACTGTTTAATGAATGATCAAATCTCCCTTTACCTCGGAACCAGCTGTTTCCGTAAAAATGAATTTCTCAAAGACTCTTCTGAATTCCTCATCCAAATCACCATCAAGTTCTGCCTTTTCTGGTATGTACTCTACTTCAACTTGTTCCAAAGCCTGTTAATTTCAGAACAAGTCATAATGCACAAGTTCAAATCTCTTCACAAAGTATCCCACAATAATAAAAATGCAACCATTTTTGCATTCTCGTCCTTACAAATACTAACTTGTTAATCAGCTCTAAGGTTCAGATATAGATTTGTGTTCAATTGAATGAATAAGATAACCAAATTAAATGAAGTTTAGAGAAAAATACAAACCCTCTATTGAGTATCCAGTCATAAGCAACTAGTAAGTACATGTATATATGTATATATGCTTATTATTACACAAAACCCTATTTTTTTTAACACCTAGGAAAAATTTTCACCAAATAATATCCAATTTAATCTGATGAGCTCACCAACCAAAGCAAAAGGGTAAAATCAAAAAACTAACAAATTTACAATGAAACCCCGTATTCAAAATACCTTTTGAGGATCGGAATGCTGCTTTACATTGTCATCAACGCCGCCGTCGTCCGCAGCTGTGTCACTGTCCTCACCGGCGGTGGTGTCCGTCGCGGCATGAGAGGTCTTGTTGTTCTTCTTCTGCTTCCGCCGCCTCCGACGTCGCTCGCTCTCGCGCGATTTCTTCCCGACAGTGGCTGTATTGTTAGGGTTTCGATGCTTCAGATCGCCGTTTGGGAACGAACGGGTCTCTGCGACGCCGTTTGCTGCTTCGACCGTCATTTTCTTCGTCGCCGATTGAGTGTTGCGCAATAACCGACGATCTGGTTTGATTGGTTTCCGAGAAAGAGAACGGACGAGAGCGAGAATTATACACAAACGGACCCTTAACACTGTTTGGATAGTGAAGTTGGAGAAAAATATCTTGCGATTGTTTTGAAAGTCGGAAAAAGTAAAATACAAACGGACCCTTAAATAAGGGGGAAAAATGGGAAAAAAGAAAAGAAAAAAATAGATAGAGATTTTTTTTTCTTTTTGATAAATTACCTTGCCTCCCTCAAATTCAAGTTCAAGTTCAAATTCTGGTATTTTATCCACAGATTAAAATTTTAAAATATTATGCCAATCTCCCTAAGGTTTAATTGACTTAGCTATGACCACCCCTCAAATAATCAAAAATTCTAAATGTCCAAACTACCCTCATGAGTAGCACATTTAGGAAATTATCATCATCAATCAGTTGAAATCAATATTAGTGCTATTAATAATTGGACCAAACTACCCCCACTTACAATATTTAAAAAAAGATAAATTTAATACGAGTATATCATTTGATTATATTTATATAATTGTATAAAAATAAAACTAAACCTGGTTGTTCAATATGTAATGTAAAATATATATATAATTTTTTAAACTTTATAATTTAGAATTTACGGAATTCCCAGGTTATATATTAAATGTATAAACAAAGATTTTTTTTAATAAACTGGGAATTAAATATATGTATTAAATACTTATTACATATCATATATATATATATATATATATATATATATATATATATATATATATATATGTACACAACAACATTCCTTAATAATCAATACACAAATAGGCAAACTTTATTGATAAAAAAATAAAATTAAAAAATCATCTCCCTAATTTTAGTATTTAGTTCAAAGTAACCTCAACAATAATCACTTTTTTATTTTGAAATTAAAAATAATAATAATAATAAATTTATATGTAAAGTTAAAAGTACCTTCCTTAATAATCACTTTTTTGGGGAGTAAGTGCAAAAAACACCCTTCTATTTTTAAAAATGTGCAAATAACACCTCTATTGTTCAAACTTCACCCCTCTAGTTTCAAAAAGTTGCAAATAAGGGCTTTTTGTCAGAGGAGTAGGTAAAAATACGAAAATACCCCCCAATATTCTTTATTCAATAATAATTAAAAAAAAAAAAAAATTTGGAGAAGTTAAAATTACCTAAATAGACATTGACCTAAACTACATCGTTTTAGGTAATGAAACAAAGCACAATTACAAACTACGTCGTTTAGTCATTCTCATTATACTATCATCTATCAACCATGCTTCATCACCACCACTGCTCACCCCCTTTCTCGCTGTTAACGTTATTGTCTCATCGGCCGTGCTCATCAATCCAGCCAACATCAAACATAGAACCTGTGTATGAGGGTGTGTACATGTATATACACGACCATATAACAAAGCAAAAAAGACCCAATTGGAAAATCGTAGAAAAACCAACTAGGTCGAAAGATGAAATGAGAATTAGATGTACCAACACGAAATTGTTCTCGCAACCACGCTTCTTTGGATTCAAATCGTCGTCACGAATGGTGATTGTAGCAGAATAGTTGAAGATAAGTACAATCACTGCACAATGTCCATTGAAGTCGACGAAGCTTTGTTTGCGCATCTTCATTGAATCCGGGAAGCATTTGTCAACGCCAAGTTTGGTTGCGCAATCGATGGTGGTGGTGTTGGGTTTCAATTAAGTTTTGTAAACAATTCAAATTAGTGACGGTGGTGGTGTTGGGTTTGATTAAGGCTTTGTAAGTTGTCTGCGATGATGGTGATGGTTTGATTTGGGGTTCCTGTTGGGTACGATTGGGTTCGTCATGGATCCGATTGGGTGGTGATGATGGTGGTAGAAATAGTGATATGTATATATATATAAATCCCGGCCCATACTAATACTCGCACTGTTTCCCTGTCCGCATCGCGCTTTTTTCGCCCCCTGAATCAATCTGGTTATGGGGCTTGATCGAAGTGACATTGCCTACAATTCAAGTGTTAGTGCACTTGGGCAAGCAAGAAAATTTGTAGACCGACAATCTTGGAAACAAACTAGACAAAAAATGAGATTTTGATAATTGTATATATATAGAGAGAGAGAGATCGGACTGCTCCGGCAATGGCTTCCTTTATCAAAACGGTGAAAGCCCATAATCTCCTAAATCGGACAAACTGGTGAAGATTCAGGAACCAAACCGGCAAGGATTTTCAATAACTCAACCGGCAATACGTCCATGACTTCTTCTATGTCCATCAAGCACATGAGCTTTACTTGTGTTCCTGCATATCAGACCTCACTTGTGTTCCTACATATCAGTGTTTGTATATATACATATATATTAGGCTGTTCATCCTCATATTGATTATGATTTTTATACTTTAGATAATTCAATTGATTCAAACCCAAATGCATTTTCTATTGTTCCTCAATAGAACTGATTTTAGAGAGAGAAAACAATTGATTTTAGAGAGAAGGTATTGGAGGAGAATGCTTGAAAAAGGAGAAAAAGGGTAGCGCAAAAGTGTGCAAAAAACCCTTGTATTTTCAAAGGTGTATTTTGGGTAGTGTAAAAGGGTATTTTTGATATTAAAGGTTAACTTTTGCTCACATGCACGACATATGCCAAATTTGTTAGTCAGAAGCCCTTATTTACAACTTTTTGAATATAGAGGGGTGAAGTTTGAACAACAGTGGTGTTATTTGCACATTTTAAAAAATAGAGGGGTGTTTTTTGCACTTACCCCTTTTTTTTGTTTCCCCTTGTGTTTTTCAAAAATATATAGCTTTTTTTGCAGTCTATTTTTCCTTTTCATATTTTAAAAGGGAAAGAAAATACAACTAAAGTTGTCCCTGGGGCACAATGAATGGAAATTTAGCTACGATTTTTGTTGGGTTTGTGGTTTGAAATTCGTGTACGAAAATTGATTTACTTTCTCATTTGGAACTTTTTAAAGGGCCTGGGCTTATGAAGAAAATTATTTCTCATTGGACTGCTTTATTTTATTGTTGTGATTGATGTAGTAATTATTTATTGGCAAGTTGTGGAATTCTTGTTCAACCATGTATTGTGTTTGAAGACTATAAATATAGTTGGGTTTGGGTAGAGAGATAGAAAGAAAAGATGTATAGAAAGAAAAAATGTCAAGAGCTGAAAAGGTGAGTGTTGTAAAGAGAGGATGTAGTGTATTTAATTACAGTGCTATGGCCTAAGAAGAAAGGGGTTCTGGTGTTTTTAGTTCGAAAAAAGAACAGTGAGTTGAAAATGAAAGGAGCGATAGAATGTGTGGGGTTTTAACATTCGTTGTTGTATGTTCTCTTGCTTGATATATGATAATGAAATCTCTCTCTCTATGGACCGTGTAAAATATTATGTAGTGTGTTAATGTATATGATTGTTATCTCCGTGTACGTTTGTGTGATGATTATGCTTCCACTATGTGTGATGAATGAGATATTTAACTCTTAACAACAGCGAACCGTAGGGTGGGTTAAAGAAAGTTGATGTGAGTCGATGGTAGGTCAAAGCCTGTGGTTGGTTCTAAATATCAAAGTCAAAGATTGGTGTGAAGTTTGTCAAAGCAAAAGGTTAATCATGGGTGCATGCTATGGAGATTCAATCAGAGTTAGATGATGACACAAAGAAAATGGTGTGATAAGACAAAGCCATGAGGAATAAGTTTTAGGGACAATCCAAATAATGGGTGCTAGTTCTCAAAATGGGACGAGTATGGTGTAAATAGTATGAATATGAGGCTTTGTTGCTTTGAGCCATAAAAGTCGTGTCGGTGAGTTACCTTGCGAGAGTAATTATGCACCGGTAAGTAAAAGTAGTATTGGTGGGTTGTCATGCGTGAGCAATTATGCACCAATGAGATGGAAAGAAGAAATATGGAGGAAGAAGAGGTTTGTTCGAGGTGGAGCTATGAAGGAGCGCGCAAAGACCAAATTTGAGCCAATGTGGAGATTGTTGAGTTTGTGGCTTGAAATTCTTGTGCGAAAATTTATTTTTTTTAATTTTTTTTTTTCATTTGAGACTTTCTAAGGGGTCAAGAAAATTATTTCTCATTGGAATTGTTATATTTTAGAGTTGTGATTGATATGGTAACCCCTTGTAGGCAAGTTGTTGAATTACTGTCCAACCAGAAATTGAGTTTGAAGACTCTATAAAGAGTGTTTGGATTGGGTAGAGAGATAGAGAGAGAAAAGATGTAAGGGACTGAAAGTGCGAGTGTTGTGAGGAGATGAGAGAGTATATTTAATTCACGTGGATGTAGCCAGAAAAGAAAGTGATTCCAGTGTTCTTAGCAAGAAAAAGAACAGAAGAGTGAAAATAAAAGAGTGATAGAGTGTGTGGCGTTTTGACATTCATGGTTGTATGTTTTTTATTTTTTATTTATCATGGATATAACTCTAGATTTTGGTCAAGCATAACACATTGCAAGTTAGGTCGTGACGAATATGTACCTTTTATTCCATTTGGTTGGAAAGATGGAAAAATAGGTGGAAAAATAGGTGGGGAGGGATAGATGAGGCATCTTCAAGGAAGAGAAGTTGTCTCCTTCACTTTTTGTTTGGTTGGATGGAATGAATAAGACAAATAATGGATGGGATGACATTTTTTTGTGTCTGGTTGAAAAGAAGAGAAATATAATTTTTATATATTTTTTTTACCAATATACCCTCATTATTAACATCTCACTGGGTAAAGTGATTTTTTTCAAAAGGTTAAAAATGAAAATTAAAAATTATTAGTTATTACGGTGCTTTCACTCTCCTCTTCCCTTCAAAATTGGGTGGATAACAAAATACAAAGAAAAGAGAGGTGAAGTATCACTCCTTACTTTCTCTTAATTTTTTCTTCCCTTCAACCAAGCACAAAAAAAAAAAAAAAAAAAAAAAAAAAAAAACTTTTTGAATCTCTCTTCTTATCCATCCCTCCTCAATCATTCCCTCCAACCAAACATAAAGTTAGTCTTTATCAATCTCATAAGATAGCACAAAACATATTACTTGACCAAATTTAAAGGGCTTAATGAGAAGGAATTATATGAATCATTAGCGAACTGTACTGCAACTCGAATAATTTGAAGTGAAATCATACCTTACACAACACGATTCTAATG